ATTGTACTTCGGCTCTCGTGGACTTGTTCTAATTTTCTTCATCTTCAGCTTGAACTTGCATATGAGCAATTGATGATCTGTTCCACAGTCGGCCCCTGGCCTTGTTCTGACTGATGATATTGAGCTTTTCTATTGTCTCTTTCCACAGTTGTAGTCGATTTGATTCATGTGTATTCCATCTGGCAAGGTCCACATGTATGGTCACCGTTTATGTTGTTGGAAAAAAAGTATTTGCAATGAAGAAGTCGCTGGTTTTGCAAAATTCTATCATGCGATCTCTGGCATTGTTTCCATCACCAAGCCCATATTTTCCAACTACCAATCCTTCTTCTTTGTTTCCAACTTTCACATTCCAATCACCAGCAATTATCAATGCATCCTGATTGCATGTTTGATCAATTTCAGACTACAGAAGTTGGTTAAAATCTTCAATTTATTCATCTTTGGCCTTGGTGGTTGGTGCATAAATCTGAATAATAGCCATATTAACTGCTCTTCCTTGTAGGAGTATGGATATTATCCTATCGCTGACAGCATTGTACTTCAGAATAGATCTTGAAATGTTCTTTTTGACAATGAATGCAAAGCCATTCCTCTTCAAGTAATTTACACAAGTAAGCTTTCTATAATAATTATACAATGAAAATACACAATTTGCTCTGACACGTAAGCAAGTGTTCTATCACTCAGATTAAAGGGTCTATAAAAACTACACATCAGAGTTAAAGGAAAATCTTGTAAGCATCTCTTTCTATACAAACTATTCAATTTTATAATAACACCTGTTTATAGACTCTTCCAGGTCTTTGTTATAATCCCCATCCTACATTGTTACTATTTTTGTTTAAATAGTCAACTGTCCTTTAAAAAGATTTAAAAAATTTTGAAAACCTTGGTATTTACTCTTGTGGTGGCTGTTTTTTATTAGTGTTCATTTCTTTGTGTAACTCCACATTTCTATCTGCTATCATTTTCCTTCTGCCTGTGGAACATCCTTTAACATCACCTATACTGCAGATTGGCTGGTGATGAATTCTTTCAGTTGTTGCACATTTGAAAAAGCCTTTATCTCATTTTTGTTTTTGAAAGATGTTGAATTTCATGGGGTCTAGAGTTCCACATTGACTTTTTTTTTCTTCCAGTATTTTAAAGATATCTCTCCACTATCTTCTCACTTAGATTAATTCCAGTGAGAAATCTGCTGTCATCTTTATCTTTGTTCTTCTGTACATAATGTGTCTTTTTTTCCTCTGGCTGCTTTTAAGACTTTTCTCTCTACCATTGGTATGGAACAATTTGATTTGAAGTCCATTGGTATAGTTTTCTTCATGTTTCGTGTGCTCAGGGTTTCTTTCACTTCTTGGATCTGCAGTTTATAGCTTTAATCAAATTTAAAAATTTTCTTCAAATGCCCCACCTCTTTTGGGAATTCCAGTTACCTATATATTAGGCAGCTTGAAGTTGTTCCACAGTTCACTGATGCTGTTTTTCATATTTTCCTTCTTTTTTTTTTTCTGTGTGTTTCATTTGGGATAACTTTTATGGTTATGACTTCAAATTCACTAATATTTTCTTCTGTAATCTCTAATCTGCTGTTAATTCTTTATCAGTATAAATTTTACCTGAGACGTTGTCATTTTCAACTTGAAAAGTTAAATTTGGATCTTTTTAAAAATGTTTCATATCTCCACTTAACATGCTTAATCTTTCCTTTAGCTTCTTGAACATATAGACTACAGTTATAATAACTGTTTTTAATGTCTTGTCAGTCCTAGGTCAGTTTTGATTGATTTTTTTTTTCCCTCATTATGGATCATATTTTCCTGCTTCTTTGCATGCTTGCTATTTTTTATTGGATGCTAGATATTTTAAATTTTATCTTATGTGTGCTAGATATTATTGTATTCCTATAGATACTCTTGAGTTTAGGTCTGGAACACAGTTGAGTTACTTGTAAACCATTTGATCCTTTCAGGTCTGGCTTTTATACTTTGTTAGGTGAGACTAGTGCAGTGCTCTTTCTAGGTTTAATTATTTCCCACTCTTGAGGTAAGACCCTTCTGAGTACTCCGCCCACCAAAGTCCTGTGAATTATGAAATTTTCCAATCTGGCTGGTGGAAGCATGTACTATTCCAGGCGCTGTGTGACTGCTGGGCACTGTGACCTCCAATCCTTTCAGGGGATTCTTTCCTCAGTCTTTGGAATTTCTTCACATGCATGATACTGATCAGTACTCATCCTAATACATGAGAGGAACTCTCTTCAGATCTCTAAAGTTCTCTTGGTGCAGTTCTTTTTTCTCTGGTACTCTGTCCTGCAAACTCTTGCTTCCTCAGTCTCCCCGGACTCTCAGCCCTGTGTCCTCAGCTTAGGGAGTCTGCCAGTATCCACTTGAGTTACCTCTTTCTACATCATGGCCTTTAAGCTCTCTCAAGTCAGTAAGCTGGGGCAATCATAGGGCTCACTTGACTTGTTCCTATCTCTCAGGGGTTGTTGTCCTTAGTTGCCTGATGTCCATTGTTTTGAAAACCATTTTTTCACTTATTTTTCCAACTTTTTATTTGTTTCAGGTGGGAGGAAAAATCTGATCCCTATTATCCCAGCTTGCCAAAAGCAGAAGTCTCATTTATGATTCTGACTAGTAACTGTTTTCTATATTTTCTCCTTATCTATGTAACAAAAAAACAATGGCTAGGTTAAGACTTTTTTCCTCAAAACTTAGCTAAAATTCTCTCAATTTCACCAAAAATCAGCTATTGTCTCCTCTGATTTTTTAGCATTTAATTTTATTTGAGGCTAAATTGAGAGATTTGGGGTTTATAATTTTTAATACTACAAAATTAAGACTCTTTCCCTTTACTCTGACCTCAAGTTGCGGTAGTTGGAATTTTGGCTGGGTAGACCACGTCTGGGGTTGATGTATCCACTTTCTGTCTTTGCTCAGATGTATGGGCAGTGATGACTCTGGTGGGAGACAGCCTTACTGTGAGATGAGGGACTGCTGCCCTTCGGGGAGCTGATTTTGAAGGATGGGCTTAGAATATCTGTATTAGGTATCTAGTGCTGCTATAATAGAAAAACAACAAACCCCTGTTGCTGTTGAGTCGTTTTCGACTCATAGAGACCCTATAGGACAGAGTAGAACTGCTCCATAGGGTTTCCAAGGACCAGCTGGTGGATTTGAACTGCCAACCTTTTGGTTAACAGCCAATCTTTTAATCACTGTGCCACCAGGGCTCTTAATACCGCAAGTGGATGGCTTTAACAAAGAGAAATTTATTCTCTCACAGTCTAGTAGGCAAGAAGTCCGAATTCAGGGAGTCAGCTCCAGGGGAAGTCTTTGCCTCTCTGTTGGCTCTGGAGGAAGGTCCTTATCAGCAATCTTCCACTGGTCTAGGAGCTTCTCTGTGCAGGAACCCCAGGTCCAAAGGATGCACTCTGCTCCCAGTACTGCTTTCTTGGTGATATGAGGTCTCCCATGTCTCTCTGCTTGCTTCTCTCTTTTATGTCTCAAAAGAGATTGGCTTAAGGCACAACCTAATCTTGTAGATTGAGTCCTGCCTCATTAAACATAACTGCCAATAATCCCACATCATTAACATCATAGAGGTAGGATTTACAACACATAGGAAAATCATATCAAGTAACAAAATGGTGGACAATCACACAATACTGGGAATCATGGACTAGCCAAGTTGACAGATATTCTGGGGGGACACAATTGAATCTATGACAATACCTAAAAAGAGTTGCTTTCTTTTTTCTCTGAATGCTTCTGCAGCAGTTAGTTCTTCAAGCAAAGTCAAATCCCCTATTTCTTGCTCATCCGTGTATTATATCCCCAACAATTAGCTTTCTGTTTTCTATGCAGTCTTCAGACACACATCTAGTCTTTTCTCCAAGGACAAACAAGGCTTCTGTCTCTGCTCCTTACCTTCTAAGGGAGACTGCATCCTAACTCCCTCTTCCAGAAGATTTCTATTCTAGCCTGTACTATGGTGTTTCTGGAAGTATTTCTCATTAAAGTAAAGGGGAAAAAAATCCTGTAATTTAATCTTTAGAAAGGTGACCTTCTAGTAGTCACCCATTTCCCCTACCCCACAATGATAACAGAATATTTACATAAGAAGCTACAAATGGATTTAGAAATTCAAGATGTTCATGTTTACAAAGTGGTTACCTGCCCACAATTCATATGATTCTTTCCCTCCCCAATTCCAGCTTCTCACAACTGATAAGAACATGGACCTGTAGTCACACAAAGACAGTCCAACTGAAGTTAGTAATAAAGGGTTCTTACCCAAAATTTGGAGGCCTAGTCAAGAGCTTGGCTGCTAACCAAAACGTCAGCATGTTCGAATCCACCAACTGCTCCTTGGAAACCTTATGGGACAGTTCTACTATGTCCTACAGGATCACGGTGAGTCAGAATTGACTCAACGGCAACAGGTTATTTTTTTGGTTTTGGTACCCAAATTTTAGCAAAAAGGAAAAGAAATATATATATAAACATACAGTTAAGAGCTTGGCTGCCAACCAAAAGGTCGGCAGTTTGAATCCACCAGCCACTCCTTGGAGATCCTATGGGGCAATTCTACTCTGTCCTATAGGATCGCTGTAAGTCAGAATCGACTCAACAGCAATGGTTGTTTTTTTTTAAAATATATACATAAGTGTTGATCTTTTATTCTTTTATTAGAATGCCATATAAGGCAAATCTGTTTCCTTCTGGATTTTCTTCCTATTTAGTTTTGAGAGAGATTAGTTCCTCTTCCTTTGTTTCTTGTTTTACTCTTGTATCAGGAGACAGTGATGCAGTTTTACTCGGACTCTGAGAATCGAGGAACAAATGGCCTTGGAATTTCCTCATTCATTTAAATACTTCTGTGCAGTGGGCATTTATTATCTCTGGCATACCAGGCACACAGAAGATCTGGTCCTGTTGGCGGTATCTTTTCACTTTACTAAAACCTGAACGTCTCTTGATTTCTTTCTGCAGGTGCTGGGATGAACAGAGCAAACAGCTGTCAGTCTGACAGCAGTGGGTTCCTGGAGGAGCCACCAGAACCACTGCCCCTCCAGGTAAACTGGGCTTATAAGTGTTGAAATAAAACCCTTATTGCTAATCCCAAATTCCCCACTTCAGACTTGCCTCACTGACCTCACTCACTGCTAACTTGGTATGAAATACAAGTTTGAAAGTGCCCCTCCACAATTGGAAAGGCTCAGCCAATACTTAGAAGGTACAAGCTATATGTACCCAAGAGGCAGGGGATGATGCAGTCACACTAGACAAGGTGTCAGAAAACTTGATTTCCTTCATTTCTGTTTTCTTTTGATTTTTCTAAACAAGGAAGCCAAGCCTCATAGAGATGAGGTCCCAGGCAAAGCAGTAAACCAGTGAAATTCTCAAGATTATAACCCTTATCTCCTAACTCCTAAGTCAATCGTAACTATAAGAAAATAAACAAAAATGAAAACCATTTCTGAAACCTAGTGTCTGCCCCACATTCCTGACCATTTTGCCATTATCCTGGGTTCTCTTACAGATGTCTTCTTTGCCAAGCAGTCAAAGTCCTAGTGAGAATGGATGTGGAAAGCCCAGGGATCAGAATCACAGCTTAGCATCATCCCAGGACAGTCAGCAAGAGTCAGATGAGTCTGATTCCAAGAGCATGGTGAGCTCATCTTTTTCAAGCCAAGATTGGAGTGTCTTGGAAGAAAAGACCTCAATATCTATGGAGGAGGAAGAGACTCAGCTTGATGCCATGGAGGGCCCACCAGAGGTGTTCATCCCAGATATGGCCCCGGACAAGACTGCCACTGGGGGAGAACACCCAGGAAAGGACACCCGTCTGTGGCAGCTCCTACCAGTGCCCAACTCTGAATGTAACGTTGTCAAAAGTACAGCCACTTCCAAGTATGATTGCCCTCTGGGGTTTATGGTGTCCCACATCACAGAAGTGAAAGACGGGTTTCTAAAACCAGAGGAAGCTGTGAAAGTGTATGCGAAAACCCACCACTGTGAGTCTCCAAGGTCACCTGAAAATGAACATGCTCAAGACAAGTTCCTTCATGTTGACTCTGAGGCCACAAGAGGAGAAGAAAGCAGCAAACTCTGTTCTGATGTCAACAACACCGTAATGACACTAGAAAGTCCACCACAGCTTTTCGCCAAGCACAGTGATATCATACCCTATACAGACAATCTTATTCAAACATGTGAAGAGTCTATTCCCCACCTAGGTGAACTAGCTGGAGATACGCCCCAAGCAAAGCCGAGGTGTAGTGCTTTGGGTCAAATATCATCTAGGGCAGAAACTGTGATGGGAAACATTTCTCCAAATGCTGACTCAAACACTGGCAGCTCCAGGTCTGTGACAATCCATATGTCCTCCAGTTTGGTGTCAGCTGCTCAGAGTGCTGTGGCCTTGGGGACAGATTCTAAAGGATCATCTTTAGAATGCACTATGTGTGACCCTATTACCACAATAGGACCAGAGCTGGGGACAGAAGTGAGACAGTCCAGAGATGCTTCCGTTCAGACTTATATTTGTGAACCCAGGACCTGGCACTGTCTTTCGGCCTCAAGTAACAAGGCCTTGGCACATGGACACCAGCCCCTCACCAAATCTGTCTCTCTAGACACAGGCTTCCCTAGTACTTACTCAGCGGACACCTGCCATGGCTCACCTGTCCACTATTGTGTCTGCTGTCATCATCATTCCCACTGCCATGCAGAGGGGCCAGGCCCTGGTCCTGCACCCTTAGCCTGTAGACACTGCCTGGGCTCACATAACCATCATCCAGAAGCTGAGTTCATGAAGACTTTGAAAGTCCTCCAGGACACTACAGTGAGAGAGCTATGTTCCGTAAGTGTTTACCTCTGCAAAGATGGAAAGACAGGTGCACTGACAATAAACATCTCAGGGATAATGTTGGACCTTCCTTTCCAAATGTGAGATCCCAGGGCATACATCTCTCTTTTAAATCATGAGTAAAATTTGTAGAATGCTTTATTGTTTATGATATAGTCTCACAAATTTCTCCCTGCTCAATGCTTCCAATCACCTTGTGAAATAAGGAAGGCAAATTTTATTATTAATTCCCGTTTTACAGATGGGAAAACTAAGACATAGAACAATAAAGTCATATCTCCAAGGTTATTAACATTAGCATATCTGTACCTCATCTTCAGTTCTATCTAACTGAAAGTTTTGTCTTAAATTCACTTAGCTGTATAATTTTACACAAGCCATTGAGTCTCTCTGGGCCTAGTTCCTGTTGCATAAAACTAAGGAAACTATTCATAGCACTAACACAGGATTGTTTTGGGATTAAATGAGATATAGCTTGTAAAACATTCAGAACAGTGTCTGGCACACAGAAATCTCTAGACAATGTTACTTGTGTGGGTGTTATTCTTATTATCAATTTTTGTTACTATTTTTATTGTTGAGGTTTTGCTAAGTAGAGGGACTTTTGGTCTACTGTTGCCAAGCTTATTTAAAAAGAAGGTGGACACTGGAGTTACTGAGAACCAAATGACCCCACCCCTCCCCCCTTGATTAATCAATGAGCATTTAATAAGTCTGTCCAGCCCCCAGTCACCTTAGTGATTCTCAAAATGAGAAACGATCTAGGTCTTCAAGACTAGCCATTGATTCAAAAACTAAGATTATCACACATTAAACAACATGTATAGAGAGTATCTGTGGCATTTTCTGTGGTACAAGTAATGCAGGACTGCAGGAGAGTGGAGAAGAGCGATGATTTACTGAGCGCCTGCTGTTTGCTGCCTGTTGGTTTACTCTCCCATTCTTAAAATTCCACAAATATTTATGGAATGCCTATCCTAACCACTTTATTAATGTTATTTTTTTATCTTCACTTTCATCTAGAATATAAACTTTTATTGAGTCATTACTATGTCCCAAGTTCTCCCTCTTTTATAAATGAAGAAACTAGAACTGCAAGAATTTCGGCAATTTCCCCAATGACCCCCAACTACTAAGTGGCAGGTCCAGATTCAAATGCAAATTTGGCTGACAGAAATTCTTGGACAATACACTCCAGGCAAAGATATGCCCACCTTTAAAATATCTAAATCTATATAAAATTCAATATTAACATTAGAATGTGACTATTTAAAAGATAAAGCAAGTTACTACCTGGGTCCTTTAATGTATAGAAACCTACATAAATGCAATGAAGGACGCTGTTTAGCATAGGGAGCAAAGATTAAACCTGGGCCAGTTCCAGGCATGATGAGAGATATTGAGTGGGGCCCAAGCTGTCCCCATTCTTCCTGCCTAATGTCAAGAAGAGGCCTTGTCCTCTTTTCACAACCCTGTAATGTTTCTGGACAAGAGAAAGCACTCCATGGGCCCACATAATTAGCTATACAAAAGAACTTTTTATTCATATCAACAAAGCATAATTCCCTAGAGCATCTGACAAAACAAATGAAAACACTGACACACAGAGCACTTCTTTGTAATAGTATTTACTGCTCCTACAATATAAAATCAACATTTTCCGTAGCAAATAAAATGAGAATATACGTATTTGCTTACATACTTGCTCTGAAAATTAGGGACTCTGGCTAGGTTTGTGATTTAGTTTAAGGGAAAATGAAGTACAGATCAAACTGCAAAACTAAGTTAGCAAAGTAATTAATTCATTAATTGAAAAATATTTCCAAAAAGAAAATAAAATGTATCGGAAATAAGATTTTTGGTGTTAGAAAATTCTTCTATAGTGTTTATTATTTAGGTTTGAAGAAAACAAAAAGCATACAAATTTTTAAAAGTAGTATGGGTCAATTCAAAATCAAAAGTTTATATGGTTTATTTTGTTTTTGGCGGTATTGCAATTACTGTGTGAGTTAAAGTTTATTTTAATGGACATGGGTCAATAGAGAAGGGCTTGCACTGTATTTGGAATTTAATCCAGCCATTGCATTGGATGAAAGAGTCCAAAACATTTTTGTCTTTTTCTAGCCTACGATTTCCTTTATTCTGAAAAGACTTTCATCTAGGGCTAAAATGTATTTTTCAGTATTTCCGAACGACCAGAAGATGGCAGCCTTTCAGAACCTTCCACGTCAAGCTTTCACAGGGAATGAACACACCACCATTTACCCCCAAGTCTAGCCCCCCATACCTTTCATTCGCAAAGGGTCACTCCAAACTAAGTAGACTAAGCATAAAATTCAGTGTTTAGAATGTTTAACCTATCTGAGCACCATATTCTCATGGCCCCTGGCCTCACTGACCCTAAAACTTTGACGTGAACTTGAAGCAGTTGGTCAGTCTTGCTTATCTTGTAGGAATCTGCTAGAACCACTCACTCAGGTCACTACTAAGGACAGATAACTTTTCCACGTGCCCAGCTGCACTGTATTCCCTGCTGTGACTCAGATCTTGACAAAAATAATAATAATAAACCAAGAGACTTGGGTTTGAAATTTGGCTACCATTTTTTGACTGTGGATAAGTTAATTAACATTCTGTCAAAAAAAAACTTATCTATAAAATAAACCCTTCATGATCTCCAAGACCTTTTCCAGTTTTAGGCGCCCATAATTCTAGCTGCCTTTCAAGCACCCATGTCAGCAATAGTAATGTTTCAAACACTTCTCTAGTTCAAATCCATTCCCATTGATGCAAAACATAACTGGAGAGTTCTACTATGCAAATTATGTTATTCCGTATAAAAATTAGAGGGCAGAATCAAAATCAAACTCTCAAAGAAAAATAATGGAGAGTTTTCAATATAAAAATATTACTCTTAAGAAAATATTTCAAATGATTATGACAATTCCAGGAAAAAAAGCCATCAGGCTACCAGGATCTTGGCCATGCAGTTTGGGGAAAAGGGTAGAAATTAGGCTGCCGAGAAACAGGGCTGTAAGGTTAGTCTCCATGGAAGCAGAAAGAAGAAAAAGTTAAAAGGGGCTTGCCAGCTAAATCTGTTCCCTCTAAAGAGCTTCCGAGAAGCCCACTCCATCTTTTCCATTTCCATTTCCGTTTCATTGGCTATTCTATCTGTAAGAGGACCTGGGAAATGTCATTTTTTTAGCTAGATACATTGTTGTCCCTAGGGTATTAGAGTCCTGTCAATAAGGATAGTTAATAACAATAGCAAGTAGGCAACTAGCAGCAGCCTCTGCCACATTGATCTGGGAGGGCTCCCATCCCACAGGCCTGGTAGAGACAGTGGTAAGGGTCCAACAAAATTCATAGCACTCAGAGTCAGCTGGGTGGTGGCACTGTGGTTCTGGGTCATGGATGTATTCAAAGAATGGTCCAGCCTGGGGTGGAAAACAAGAGGGACAGCTGGTAAGAATTCAACAAATCATCAGAGTGCCCAGCAAATGAACTGGATTTGGGAGCAGCATGGAGATAACTTCTAGATAGGGAACGAAAAAAACAAACCCCTTGCCATTGAGTCAATTCCGACTCATAGCCACCTTATAGGACAGAAGAGAACTGCTCGATAGGGTTTCCAAGGCTATAGTTTTTACGGAAGCAGACTGCCACATCTTTCTCCTGTGGAGTGGCTAGTGGGTTCGAACTGCCAACCTTTCAGTTAGCAGCCCAGCACTTAACCACTGTGCCACCAGGGCTCCTTAAAAAGGAAGACTAAGGCAAAAACACGTTCATTCAGAAAGAGTAAGATTTAGAGGCTGATTCACATCAGGAACAAGGGGGAGCATGATTTGGAGGTGGGGAGATAGAGTAAAATTCCAGATTCCAATTCCTGGAGAGGATGAGATGGCCATTCTATGCCTGTTCTAGTCTGAGTCTGGATGGGTGCCTCAGCCAGGTGGAGCTGATCCTTCAGGTTCCAACCACCAGGGCTTAAACTAATAAAAGCAGGGCTAAAACTAATAAAAAATATTCTAAGCAGATTTTGTTTAATCAAACACATACCATCCGAGCAGATGTGTTCAATGTTATTGATACTCAGAATGAGGCAGTAGTTAGCACCAAATTTAAAAAAAGATTAAACAAGACTCAACTTTCTAAGCCCTAGCCCTCACTCTGGACCTCCCTCCTCTGGCTTCATCTTCACATCCCTGCATCATGTAGTCCACCAGACTGCCTGTCTGTCTCCATGATGGGACATAATGATTTTCACCCAAAGGGAGACCCAACAACTGCTACCCTCCTGTCCCAGCCAAGTACTGCCTCTAATGGCCCCAAGAAGCCAGAGGCTGGACTCTTTCTGTTCTCTTCCCCATGGCATCTTTGCAGTATGGCTTCTGTCTTAGTTACCTAGTGCTGCTATAGCACAAATACCTCAAGTGGGTGGCTTTAGAGAACAGAAATTTATTTTCTCTGTTCAGGAGGCTAGAAGCTCTCACTCAGGGCAGCTGCTGTATGGGAAAATTCTTTGTCTCTTTGAGCTTCTGTAGCCCAAGGATTCCTTGGTTCCTTGGTGATCCCACCATCGGCATCTGACTTCCCCATTTGTGCTTACTTTTGTGTCTAATCTGCTCTTTCAATAACTTGAAAGTGATTAGATTTAGGACATACCCTACGCTGATACGGCCTCGCTAACATAACAAAGAAGACTCTATTCCCAAATGGAATTACGTCCACACGTTGAAGAGTTAGGATTCCAACACATATTTTGGGGGGACACAATTCAATCCATAACAATATCTTTGCAAACAGATGAGCCCAAGTGGAGAGGCAGGCTCCGCTACAGAGAGCTTTTGTAGTGAATCGAAAAGGACTTCCTTCCAGGAAGGTTACTCTCAGCTCTTTCTAATTGTTCTCAGTGCACTGTCCATGAGATGGAAACCATGAAGACGGTGTGCCAGAGTTTCCGGGAGCATTTAGAAGAAGTTGAACAGCACCTTATGGGACAACAGGCACTCTTTTCCAGGGACATGTCAGAGGAGGAAAGGTAATTATCTAAGGGGAGCCATAAAAGTAAGTACCAGCCCACACACCTGGAGCAAGAAAAGGTAATCAAGTCAGGACAAATGAGCATCAGGGAGCAGGGCTAAATGAGACATCTGCCAGGCTTTCCTTTGCTCTCAGACTCTTGTTCTTCTTTCCTTGGTGGGAGCCCATGCAAGCCATTCACTAGATAGCAACACTTACTTTTAGGCCAGGGATATTTGAGGGGGTGAGAAGAGGGGCAGTCAAGTGGGAGGAGGGGGGTTACCAGCAGGGCAGCTGTAAGCAATGTGAATGGGGCTCATGCAGATGCAAATGTAGGAGGTTATTAGAATTTTGGAAATCTGCATTATTGGTACATAGATTAAAAATATCTGTCCCATAAAATGATACTCGTGAAGAGAGTGCAAGTAGATACATGAAACTAAATGGGCAGCTTCTGTCCAGAGGCAAGATGAGAAGGCAGAGAGGGACAAGAGCTGGTTGAACGGACACGGGAAATCCAGGGTGGAGAGGAGGAGTGTGCTGTCACAGTATAGGGAGAGCAACTAGGGTCACATAACAACGTATGTATAAATTTTTGTGAGAAACGCACTTGCACTATATACTTTCACTTAAAGCACAATAAAATATATATATATATCTGTTCCAGAGGTAGATTAGTGGTTGCCTGGGGCTGGGAGTGATGTGGGGATAGGGATTAACTGTAAATGGACACAGGGGATTTTATTGGGGGAATGGAGATGTTCTAAACTGGATGGTGGTGATGGTTACATGCTTAGTAAATTTATTAAAAAAATCATTGAATTGTGGGTGAATTTTATGATACATAAATTACACTGCAATTGAATTGTTTGAAAAACAATAATCACCTGCCCTGGACATATCCTTATGCCTGTAAGTGATGCAAATAAAGAAGCTGACATTGTTTTTAAAAAATTTCAAAGGAGTGACCTACATTATGAGAGGGGCCGTGGAAGACTGTATCTGCGGGTGATTGTTACTTGTGCTTGTCTTCTGCTATTCATCTGCAGGGAGGAAGCCAGGCAACTGCAGACACTACGGGAGGCCCTGCGGCAGCAGGTGGAGGAGCTGAAGTTTCAGTTGGGAAACCGTGCTTGGCAAATCCGAGAGGGGATTCTGTCGGTAGGAGGCGATGGGGTGTGGAGTATGACTGTATCTTGCCCACCATAGGAGGGGCACATTCAATGAGCAACCTGAGTGTGCAATCATTTTAGATGCTAGAATTATGTACCAATTCTTAACGTGTTAGATCCAGAAGGAACCTTAGAAAATGTAGTCCAACACTCTCATGTAAGTATAAAGAAATTGACCCCCAGAGAAGTAACTTGGTTTGCTTAGGGCCACACAGGTATCTAACGGTGTTCTGGGTCTAGAACTCAGGACACCTAACTCCCATGACAATCCTTTCCCCAGCCCTGTAAATAAGAGACAAGTAGTCAGTGATAGAATTCTCACCTTCCATGTGGGAGCCCTGGGTTTGATTCCCAGCCAACGCACCTCAAGCACAGCCACCACCTGTCTGTCAGTAGAGGTTTGTGTGTTGCTGTGATGCTGAACAGGTTTCAGCAGAGCTTCCAGACTAAGACAGACTAGAAAGAAAGATCTGGTAATCTACTTGCTAAAATCAGCCAAAGACAACCCTGTGGATCACAGTGGTCCGAATCCACAACCAATCATGGGCATGGCACAGCATCAGGCAATGTTTTGTTCCAATGTGTGTGGGGTCCCCATGAGTCAGGGGCTGACTCAACAGCAGCTTACAAGAAACACAGGCATGGTGAGGCTGATCTCTTCAGCTAATATAAGCTAAGTCACTGCCAGAATCTGCTGCAAGCTTGCAGAGCCCACTCCAGGGAATTTCCCATCTCATGAACACCGCTCCCGCAATTCTGGGTTAGCTGTCTGGTGCAAATACGATATGTTGTGTTAAATGTTTGGTGTAAATATGTGTTGTCCACTTTTTGTTGTTGTTGCTCTTGTTTTCCTTTTAGCAGCTCGAGCTGCTCACAGGAGAACCATCCGAACTCCATACAAACCTGCATCAGTGTAACTGGACAGAAGGAATAGATGGTCAGATGTCATGTGTAAAAGCACCAATCCACCCAGCCATGGCCCCCCAGGACTGCCTTTCCTCCCAGTGGTGGGCAGCAGGCTCCCAGCTCAGGGGTGGCTCATGTGGCTGCCTTCACTCCTCCTGCCCAAGAGAGCAGCACCAGAATGCCTCCTCCAGCCCCAGCTCCAGCAGAGTCGGGTCCTGTGGTGAAAAGGATACTAACGTCTTCCTCTAGATCAGAGCAGATTTGATGACCTTCCTGCTAAATGTAAGAGCATGTTCCAGTCATAGCAAAGAAATCTAAATGTGACCCAGCAGAATTCCCTTATTGCCCCAGGAGAAGGATCTGTCAACCTTTTATCAGCTGTTTCATTTTAATATTGTACTCTATGGGTATTTCCCAGGGCTGCTATAACAAAGTACTACAAACTGGGGTGCTTACAACAACAGAAATCTATTCTCTCACCGTTCTGGAGTCCAGAAGTCTGAAATTAGGATGTCGGTCACATTGATTCCTTCCAAGGGCTGCCACAGAGAATCTGTTCCATGTCCCTCTCCTAACTTCTGGTGGTTCCCAGCAATCCCCAGTGTTCTTAGCCTGTAGCTGCATTAATCCAGTGTCTGCCTCCATTGTTACACGCCTTTTTCCCTGTACATCTGTCTGTGTCTCTTCTTGTCTGATAAGGACACCAGTCATATTAGATTAGGACTCATCCTACTCCAGTATGAACTCGCCTTAATTTAACTAATTACATCTGCAAAGATGCTTTTTTCAAATAAGATCACATTCACAGGTATGGGAGAGAGGTATTATAGATTGAATTGTATACCCCCAAAATATGTGTTGGAATCCTAACTCCTTTACCTATGGATGTAATCTAATCTAATGTAATTACCCTCCATAATGCAATCTGATGTCATGTAATCAATCAGCTGAGGTCATACAGGTGTAGGTTGGAGTCTAAACTTAATCACTTCTGAGTAATATAAAGAGCAGCATAGACACAGAGACACATGCACACACAGGGGGAAGATAGATGACATATGAAGGTTGTCTACAGACCAAGGAACATCAGGGAACCAAGGAACACCCAAGAGTACCTACAGGTAAAGGAATCAAAATGACTGAGACCCTGATTCGGACTTTTAGCCTCCAGAACTGTGAGAAAATTAATTTCTGCTCTTATGGCTACGCATTTGTGGTACTTCTGTTTCAGCAGCACTAGGAATCTAAGACAGGGGATTAGGACTTCAGTGTATCTTTTGGGAAGACAAAATTCAACTCATAACAATGGTTAAACCTGAGAGGGACAAAACCCAAAAATCTTTTGCCATCAAGTTGATTCCAACTCATAGTGACCCTATAGGACAGAGTAGAACTGCCGCATAGGATTTCCAAGGAGCAGCTGGTGGATTCAAACTACAGATCTTTTGGTTAGCAGCCGAGCTCTTAATCACTGCACCACCAAGGCTCCATGTTGAAGTAAATAACAGGGCTTTATGAAAGAGAACACAGATAGGAGACTGATTTAGATTAAGGTATCAGGGAGAGCCTGATTGAAGGGACAACAGGAGGAGGAAAGAGGTTTCAGGCCCCAGAAGAACCAGAATGTCCAAAAGCCTGAGTCAGCCAGCCAGCCAGAAGGATGTATGAAGCACCTGCTGTATGCTGAAGACAGTGCTGTGGACAAGACAGATTTTCTACTCATAAAGAGTTGGGTAAAGGATGAGAGAAAATAAATAAAAACAACCAACAAATAAGTAAGATAATTTCAGGTGCTGACAAGTGTCGTGGAGAAGAGAGTGTGATGGTATTGTACAGAGTGATACGAGGTGGAAGGCCCACGATGTTAGCCAGGGTGGTTAGGGAAGGCCTTGCTGAAGGGAAGGTAATTGGGTAAGACCTGGATAACGAAGCAGAGGAAGCCTCACAGGAAGTCTGAGGAAAGAGCATTTTAAGCAGAAGGAATGGAAAGGAAAAGCAAAGTTTAAAGGCCCTGAGACATAGAAAGAGCCAATGTCTGGAGTGCAGTGAGTAATGGGAGAGTGGAGAGAGAGGAAGTCCAAGAGATGCGCCGGCTGACTGTAGGCTCAGGCCAGGAGTTTGAGAGCCCGGTTATCTTTCCAAGTGTAATAGAAAGCCGTTGCAGGTTTTAAGCAGGGTTGTCATGTGATCCAGACCATGGTGGCACAGGTTAAGAGCTTGGCTACTAACCAAAAGGTCAGCAGTTCAAATCCATCAGCCACTACTTGGAAACTCTATGGGGCAGTTCTACTCTGTCCTAGCAGGTTGCTATGGGTCAGAATCGACTCTATGGCAATGGGTTTGGGTCATGCGATCTGATTTACATGTGAAAATCACTCTGGCTGCCCAGTGGAAAATGCTGTTGGGAGCCTACAGCCAGGCAGAGCTCTGGGTCAGAAGGCTGTTGCTGTCATCCCTGAGGTGAGGAGTAGAAGCCATCCAATTGCTTCCATCCACCTGAGGAGGTTGGTGGAATTCCCATCATAGTGGAAATGCAGGGAGGCGTACACAAAGGCCAAACACACTTGACTGTCTCTGAGGACTACAGGAATGCTAAGAAATGGGGAGTGAGGGAAGAATGGAATCATCAGCAAAACTTCATGGAAAGAGTAAAGTCTTGAGTAATATTTATTATTTGTATAAGAAGTTGGGCAAGCAGAGGTCACTTCCTAGTAAGGAAAGAAGGAAGCTACTTCTTTTGAAACTACACACTACCAGAACCGTTCTCATAGCCTGTTTTCATTCTCCATCCTTCTTGCTGTTTGGAAACCCTTTGTCTCAGCAGAGCCCTCCTGCCCTTGAACCTCTGAGCTGTTTCCTCTGTTCAGTGTTTGTCCTTGGAGTGTAGACATTCCCGTTCCATCCTGGACTTTCCTCTTCTTCTCTCTCCACACTATTTCTTCAATATCCACACTCACTCCACAGTCATCTTTACCCCCAGCTCTCTCCAGAATTCCAGTCCAGCATTCCCTACTGTCTACAAGATATTTTCACTCACTCAGTCTCTTTTCCCCAAATCAGTTAATCTTCCTGATATTTTCTTTCTGCTAATAGCACTGTCATTCTCCTTGCCAAGTAGATTCAGATCCAAGAATTCACATTGTTACCTCATTCTCCTTCACCCAGTTCCCTCAGATTCAGTTATCACAAGTCATTGCTGATTGCACTGCCGCAAGGTAGTTCCCAGAAGTCCTTCCAGAACCAGCTGTGATGGCACAGCTGAGCGGCCTCCCAACTGCCTCCAGCTTACTTCTCCCTGAGCTATCCTGGCTTCTGCCAAATGGGTCTCCTCAGACACCACGTGGGTTATAGTCCCTGACCTAGGGTGAGTTCCCAGGGTGTACATTTAGGATATCCCAGAGAATTAGATTGAAATCACAGGTTCATACTTCCCAGAGCAGTCTCACACCAGAAAAACTCTGTGCTCTGGAATCATTAGGGTCCTCTCATCTCCTAAAGCCTCCTTTCCCCAGTTGCTGCCGATTCCATTCCAACTCATGGCAGCCCCATGGGTGTCAGAGTAGAACTGTGTTCCATAGGGTTTTCAGTGGCTGATTTGGGGAGGTAGGTCTCCAAGTCTTTCTTCCAAGGCTCCTCAGAGTAGACTCGAACCTCCAACCTTTCACTTAGCAGCAGAGCTCTTAACAGTTTGCGGTTTGTACCACCCGGGGACTCCTCATTTCCCTTTACCAAGTCCCTCTTTCGGATCCTACATCATGGCTCAGCTTCCAGCCCCAATTTGGCTCCGATCTGTTGCATTTAAACCTCACAGATTGCTTCTGTCTTCCTTCCGACTCCTTCTTAAGCTCTTTGCCTGGATCAAACTTTTGACTACCATTTCTCCAAGGTAGTCATTGTGCTTCCTTACGGCTCCATTATCATTATCTGTGTAGACAATATCTTCTCCACTATATTTAAAGGCACTTAAAGACTGTAAAGTACCCTCTACCTTTGTGGTTAAGAGTGAGACAGTCTTGGTTAAAGTGCAGGCTCCCACCTGTACAATGTGTGACCTTGGGCACTTGTTCTCTTTACCCCAGTTTCTTCCTCTGTAAAACAGGGATAAGGATAATTATCTCTGGTCTGCATGTTGGACAAAATAAATGCAATAAATCATGTATGGTGTTTAATTTAGTGCCATCACATAGTAAGTGCTCAGTGAATGCTAGCTCCTAGAAAGAGTACACTTCCCAAGAACTTAGTGAGAACTTAAGCTGTTATCATCTTTCTTCTGTTGAAAGGTACTCTGTTAGCAAAGTACTTTACACACAGAGAATATTAACAAATGCTTGATGAATGAATGAGATGGGAATAAGCTTGGTGGTCTCAGGATGTAGTTAAGGGAATTATCTGACTATGGAGAAGCACCATTTTAGGTTGTCTTAGGATCCTGGTTTGGATTTTTTTAAAGGGAGCTTGTTTATTGTCGGCTTTGACAATCAGGCAAATGACTTAACATATAATGGAAGAGGAAAGGAAGATCCTTTGCTTTCTGGTGAAGGGTAGCATATAGAATCCCCTAAAGATCTCCAACATTCAATGGTATATCCTGGTTTATTCTCCCAATTCTCCAACAAAGACAACAAAAGAACCAAGATGCAGAGAAGCTACCCCCTCCCATCCAGAACTTTTGCTGCCATCAGTCCATAAAAAACTGATTGCCAAAACCACTTCCAAATATATCTTTTATAATTCATGCCCTTACTCTCATGGACATGGGAACCCTAGAAGCCCACCCTTCCAAGTCATCCATGAATTAACTGTTAGTGTCCTCAGTGGTTTTCAATCCTGGCTGCACTTTAGACAGGAAGGTTCTAAAAAATACTGTAATAAGGCCCCACCCAGACCAATTAAATAAGAATCACCAGGGGTAGGGTCCAGGTAACTACAAAAATTTTAAGATCCCCCAGGCGATTTTAACATGCAGTTAGAGTTGAAAATTATTGTTCTAGATGAAGAAACTATCTTACAATTAAATTTTTCTGTATTTTATTCTAAGGTATTTTTCCCCCCTTTTTTTCTTCCAGGTAAGAAGTCTTTCAAGAATTTGATTAGTAGTGCCAATCACTGATGACAAAATAGGGAGAAGAAAGAAAGAAAAAATGATATGTGGGCTTTACTTCTGTTGCTACAGCTTTTACTTCTTCCTTGCTCATCAGGTCAAATGTTTCATCTTCATTTGACTTTGCCATTGAACTTTGGTCTCTGTTTTCCTTGCTCCTTCGA